TGCATTTTTAAAAAAACAACCCTCGTAGCAGTGTTCAGAACGATATGTCAATACTTCCCTCGAGTAAAAATATTATCAATGTTAAATTGTAGAATTGAAAAAAGAAATTAATTAGAAATATTGTCATAGTGGTAAATCAGAAACCACCATACTAAAATTTGCACATTTTTGTTACGATCCCATAATTATACCAATTGATATGTGAGAGGTGGTATGGGTTAAGAGAAGCAATATGAGGAGGCTTTAGTGTCACACAGAATTGGGTACAAATTCCAGTTCCACTGCTCACTAGCCATGTGTCTTTGGGCAAATTTCATAACATCACTGAGCCTGGATCCCCATATTTAAAGTACCAATATTATCTGCTGTGTGGACGTGTTAAGTGATGTAATAGAAAAAAGACACGAAATGCAGTGTAGGCATTGTGTGATGCATAACACTGGATTCTTTATAGAAGCAAATTGAAGATGATTTCATGATTGCAACACTGGATTTTTTTTTAAAAAGCCCTTTGATGCTATATTTTAACTCACTTTTGCATTTCCCACAGATACACATAGGATGAGACTCTACTTCAAGATAATTGCTGAATTTTGTAGTATGGTACACTGCTGGCACTCCCTACCTAATTACAACCTTGCTCTTCCCCAAGCACACCCTTCTCATTTTCTGGGTTATCTTTGGAGTCACACCTGACAGAAAATGGTTTGGTATTCAGCACAAGGCCAGTAAGTCCACTAATTTCACATATATATTTTTGTATTCAAGGAGAGTTCATCAAGTTATACGAACCTGTCCCAGACTAACCTGAGCTAGGGGCTCTGTGCTGACTGAATCATCCACATCAGTTTTACTAATTTAAAAAAGACCCTAAAGATGAGCTTTATAATTGAGCCCTTTTGTCTTTGGACTGAATCAACAGACAGCTTCATCCAAGAGGCTGGGGGCAGGCAGACCATTCAAATCATAGCATTTGATTCTCTTTTACATCACCCTTTGCACTTCATGTATATTTTTTACATCCAGACAATTTATATGACTTTGAGCAAGGTACTTAATTACTCTGAGCCTCTATTTTCACATCCGCAAAATGTCTCTTATAGAATACCCGCCTTGTACAATTTTTATGAGGATTCAATGAGACAATGCATGCACAGTACTTAAAACAGTGCTTGGTATACATTAATATCAATATTACTCTTGCTATGGTTAAGGTTGTTATCTCCTTGAGAAAAAAGAGGTTCCCATAGCCTGTATCTGTGCATCAGTGTATAAGTTGTCTATTTCCAGTTATATTAAATAACTACATATACTAATAGGTTGTGGTGATGAAGAAAGAAGGCATACCTTAAGGCCCCTTAAAGCATTTGTTGAGGGAAGCAGATTGATGAAAACAGGAAAGACTTGGAAGTTAGAAGACAAAAGTTTGAATTCTTTCTGGACAACTAACTTATTGTACGATCTTGAGCTGTCTTCTTATTATCTTTCTTTCATCTCAAAATTGAGGTAAAAAAAATGTTGACTGCATAGTTTTCTTCGAAAGAGTAACTGAGAAAAGCCAAACGTCTAGAATCAACTCACAATACAGACTAGCTATGTTCTTGGTACTGGGCATGAATTTATTTTCACAAACATTAATCAAAAGTCAGAGAACAGAAACAACATTTAGAGAAGATAACTTAGAGGATTTGCTGACTAGCCACTTCCCCAGATATTAAAGGTTCTACTCCTTTAGATCCAAGCCAGATCATCATAGAACTATATACCTAAACTAAATCCTATTGTTCCTCCTACAGAAAACTCATTATCAAATTACATTATAGTGTGAGGCCACCAGACTACATTGATGGACCTCACAAGAACAAGCTTTATAAATCTTATTATTTGCATTATACAGAGGCTGCCAAGGACATTTTTTCATTAACTCTACAATGAGCTCTTTATAAGATCCTCCAGGAGAAATTCCAGCCAAGATTTAGGACTAAAAATGGTAGTACTTGTCATGAGTATTAGAAGCTGAAGGCAAATATAGATTTACTGTTTAGTCAATGGAACAGGCCAAGAATGCATTCCTGCATTCATTCAAAAATATTTATTGAGTACCTACTAGGTACCAGACTCTCCACTAGGATCTAGAAATGCAATGATAAACAAGACAAGAAATATCTCTACCTTTGCAGATCTAGAGACTAGTGGGAAGGAACAGATGATTACACAAGCAATTATAATATAAAGCAATGATATAGAATGAGCCAGAAATACGTGCTGGGTAACTAGATAAGATGTATCACCTCCTTGGGTGGACAGGGAGGCTCAAAACAAAGCTAAGTTTGTTTGAGGACCATAGAAAGAAAATGCACACTTCTGTGGAAATCAGGGGAAGAAAGACACAGGTCAGAAAAAGACTAGGAGTAGGTGGATGAAGAGAGATACTGAGAACCTAAGACTGTCTAATACATCTCCTACCATGAGCAGAACTGATCTATTTACATACTTGACATCAGTGTAATAGTCTACATGAGTAGAATTATATCGCGTAGAGTGCTCATATCTATATTTAAATCATTTCATAGCCTCCTGAGGAAATTGGCCTGATTTTATGATTCTAAATAAATCAGAGAAGGTATAAAAGAAAGTACAAAGAAAGATCTGGTATTGTTTGAGATATATCTTAGGTATTTACTTCATCACATTAAGACATGTATTAATACAATCTTGTTGGTTTCTTTCCAACACCACTTACTTCTGAAAGAAGAGAGGAACACCAGGCTACAGTGGGATTATAAACCCCTCCTTCAAATTGAATGCAACTGCCCTCTTTATTCCCAAAGATGCTGGATATTCAGAGCACAGAATTAAATATCTAAGAGAAATCTTGGTATCAAAAAGTTTAACTAACAGTCAGGAGACCTGGGTTTTAGTTCTACTCTCGTCACATAAAGAAATGATATTTGAGGCTTGGAGGCTATGTGAGTAACTCAATGAACTTGGTACCTCATGTATTTAGTGTAGTAACAAAAATTGCTAACATTTTTTGAAAGTTTACTGTGTGACAAGCACTGGTTCCACATGTTTCCCATGTATTAACTAACAATCACCTCATGAGGTAGGTATTACTGTCATTTTACAGCTGAGAAAATTAAGGCATAGAGAGATATTGTAACGTTTCCAAGTCATGTGGCTGGTAAATTCAAACCCAGGCAGTCCAGCTCCAGAGCCCAAGCTACCCACTACTTTATTCTCCCAGAAATCCAGAAGCATCCCAGGAAGCTCAGAGGACACATCAGAGTACCGTGCCTCAGGATATGTTCAAGAGATCACCTTCTCTTCTCAGGGGGCTTTATGACATGAAAATAAAGGGCAATATGGCATAACAAGGATGACCCTATGCCCTGCTGTGCCCAGGACAGCCTCAGTGTATGCCTGTTATCTCAATGCCCACCAATATCTTCTTTCATTCCCGGCTGTTCCAGTTTGGATTGTAAGTGATACCGTCACCTAAGCCCAGTGGTTAAAAGGTTATGTTCTGAAGTTTGCTGGGCCTAGGTTCAAAACCCAGCTTAGCCATTAATGTTCGCTGTGGGAGTTGAGGCCAATTACTTTGCTTAACTAAGGCTCAATTTTCTCATCTACTAAATGGAAATAACAGCAGTACTTCCTTCATAGCATTGTTGTGAAAACCATAGCAGTCAATGCATGTATGAACTACCCGAATCAATTAGTATAGTGCTTAGCAAATAGCGAGCACCCAATAAAAATTAGCTTTTACCAACATTCGATTAAATGTTTGAGAGGCTATCTCACATCGGCATAATCACGGTGGACTATTTGTGAACTTGAGACATCAAAACATACCTATGAATCTGAAGCACTCAGACGTGAACCAGGATAAGTAAGGAATGCCAAATCTTTCTAAGCAAATCACTGGTACTTCCAAAAGTACCCATTCTAAGACTAAATTATAATCCTAAAGCCATTGGAAATGCAGTTTAGTTCTCAGACACTCCCAGGAGTTTTAATTTAGTCCAGATTCCATGGGAATCTCACTAAAATGCTAAATTTTATGGGGACACGATACAGGAATATCCCTTGAGCTTGTAATTTCTTTGGGGTCCTTTTTAGCCTGTCAGGCCAGCCTAGATTCATAGTGGCAATTTCTGGGATCATTCTGCTTTCAAACACAAGCCACTGACCCACTCTTCTTTGTATTCAAACCTTGGAACAGCCTCAAGATTCAGAGAATATCCTTTATCTGGCATGAGCATGGCCAGACTAGCCAGCCCCTTTGCCTACAATGGAAGTGACTGGCTACATACCCTAGAACCTGCCAAAATGTTTGTCACGTGAGAGAATCTTGGAAATTAGGCTCAACAAACCAGAGTCATGGGCCTGAAGAAACCATATGGCTAGTTAGTATACATACTGAACAAATCACCTATTTTTGCCTCATTTTCCTTGTAAAAGAAAGGGATTAAATCCATTGTACAAAATTAAGGGGTTGAATCTAACATGGTCTGGCTCTGGACCTCTTAAAAAGTCTCCATCTGCTGAAGAAAGATAAGCCACTTCCTCCTTACTTTTAAAAACTTCTAAGGAAGGAAATTCTACTTACTTCCATAGTAACCTGTCTAATAATATGCCTGACTGTCAGCAAGTTCTTTTGCCTCCACCCTGGCTTCCTCTCCTCATCATGCAAATTGCCATTGGCTTTAATTAGATTTAATAAGCCACTGGGAAGTGCAGTGAGGGAAATGGAGAGCAAAGATTACACAGGGTGGGCTTACTCGCGCGTGTCGAATACAGCTTTTCCCTGGAACTCTCATATCCTCCCAAAGCTGGGAAAATAAAGAATGCCAAGCGTATGGAAAGACACGCTGCTGCTGCTGTCCAAATGTGAACCGTGGGTGGAGAAAATCACTTAGAAAAAGAGAGTGAAGGAAAAGAGAAAATCAACCCGAATCACCAACAGCTGCAAATAACGAAGCACGTGAAGCTCTTACCTTGGATGAACTCCGATTTCCTGCTCACAGAAGGCAGGGTCCTGTTGAGCCCCAGGATCCTGTCCAGGTGGAAGGCAAACACCTCACTCATGTCCAAAGGCTGCTTGAGCAGCCCACAGGGGCTAGGGCCACAGCCAGGCACAGAGCCAACAGCGGTCCCCTCCAGCACCAGCAAGCGCGCTAGGCTCTTGGAGGGCACTGGCTGGAGGCCTGTCACTGCGCCATCGGCCAACAGACGCATTCTGCGGATGTCTTCTTTGCTCAGCCACGAGGGGGCGCTCTCGCTGTAGATCCTGATGTTGCTCTCCCTGGCCTTGGGCTGCTGGAAATCTGAGCCCCCATCCCGTGCTCCAGGACCCCGTATCAACCTCCAGGGTCTTTCCCCAACCTTGGCTAGGTTTCCTCCCTGGACGTACCCAGGCACTTCAGCATCAGCAGCCCTTGCAGCTTCCTGCGGCTGAAGGGATGGTCCGACCAAAGCCTCACGTCCAGGGGCCAGAGATGCCACTGCATACTTCTTCCTGCGCTTGGGTTTCACTGTGCCACGGATATTGGCGGGCTTGCTGCGCTTGGAACGTAGGGTAATGTACACCACATTGGGCTGCAGAGTGGTTCCGTTGCCCTGGGACTCGGGAGGGGCCAGAGTACCGTCCAAGGGTATCTCAGGGAAGGGTGCCTCGGCGGTGTCGCGGCTCTGCTGCGGCCCCTTTTCCGCTGTCGATCTGTGCTGCAGAGAGGCGCGCCCCACCTGGCTCACCAGGAAGCCCAGGTAGATGGCACAGGCAGTGCCCAGCAGGAGGTTCCTCCGGGTCCTTGGGCGCCGGCTGCTCCAGAGTTTACACACCCGCGGGACGCACAGGGAGCAAATGAACCAGTTTATGAGTTGCCCTGGCTTGTCTGGACAGGTCATTTCTCTGCCGCATCCACATGTTGAATGGAGTTTAAAGTCTGCAGTGGGCTCCTGCTGGCATGATGCATGACTTCCTGAATTCAGCTGTCGCCTCCGCTTAGGTGTCTAAGCGCTCTCCAGTGGGTAGAGGTGGAAGCAAATGGTTGGTGATGGAGTTGGGAAAGTTTCTGACACTCGCCACCACAAACCATTTAAACTCCTATCAGCCTCCCCAAGGAGAAGTGTGGCTTGTTTCTGGGAATGAATGGAAACAGAGTTTACTGAGTCACAATCTCAGACTGGCTCAGTTCCTCTACAAGAGGAAAGAAACAAAGTAACCCTTTCCTTTCATAAACATCACCATTAAACAAAGCTTAAAAATTAGAAACAAGATAAACGTATAGATTTGGTATTCAGGGTAAAATAGTGAAAACAAGCCACAAAAAGTCCAAGAATATTTTATAACTTGTAGCTAGAGTCGTATAATTTGATTCTGAAGGAAAAGCATTAAAATTTGACAAACCCAGGCTTTTCCTTTTTGAAATTCAGAAATAAGGCAAGTAATAGATTTTTTAAAAATCTACAGCTATCTCATATTTATTTTTAAAAGTCCTGCATTAACTAATTGGGCAGAAGCACCAAGTGCTAACATTCAAACTCAGAAACTTATTCTCTTAATCTGATGGTATAATTTTTTCTTCATAATATGTTCCATTATCTTACATTGAGTTATTATAATATAAAGCCATTAATGCCCATATATATTGGAAGCAGTTACATTTATTCAGTCACACACGCACACACACAAACACAAAACACAGATCCCACTGATTTTTATTCCTTTTCTTTCCACCAAAGTCAGCTCAAAGAAAATAAAAGGATCTGTAGCTCCATTTTCACATTATTTAAGAGAAAAGGAAGAGGAACTCATAGCAACCTTACTTACACAGCTGGCCCCACGCTTGGCTCCAGGAAGAATGTAATCCCTGACTCTAATGCAAAGAACTTTTAAAGGCTGAGGCATGTGAGTAGAACATATTTCATGGTCAAGAGTGTTCCACATTTCAAATATTTCAGCTCAGCTTTAAAAGCTCCCTTGAAAACTACTGATTGCAAATCAAAACGGTTACTTGGAAGCTGGCTGTGGATAACTCAGTTTTAAGATGGGTGAGATTTCTTTTTATAGTTTAAAAAATAAACTTTAATTTGAAATTCTGAAAAAACAAATGCCGTACAGAAGCAGTTTTCATTCAAATAATTTCCCACGGATTTTTAACCCCTGGGAGCCCCCTAGTGTCCTGTTTGGAAACAGCCTCAGAAATGTCCGTCTCACGGAAGTAAAAAGGATTGAGAGCGTTTGCTTAGCAGCCGCGGAATAAACAACACCTTATAAAATGAGGAAGGCCGTCCCCCCGCTGGCCATCCCACGTAGCTGGGGCTCAGAGCACCAGCGTTTCCACGAACTGCGACTCACCTTACCATCTGGACCGTTCACAGAGTGACATTTGTCTCCCACCGCTTCTAAGAAGAGAAGGCCTAGAAGTTCATAAAAAGGTAAGAAAGGGTTAACTCAAATAAGGGAAAAAATAGAACGGGGAGATAAGAGATAAGAGTGCACATCGATAGAGAAAGACATTTATAGTATGCAGTCGCACGGTGCAGCAGTTCACAAAAAGAAGTCGTGGACTCTCTCTGATTGGAGGTTTTTTTAAAAACAGGTTAGTAATTGGCTTAGGTAGTTTGCATGTCCTGGCACAGGAGCTGGGGTTGACGACCTCCCGCTCTCTCTTTTTGCTTCTACAGCACATAGAATCAGAAGGCAGGAAGGGGATAAGGACTGTTTTCCCCACTGGAAAAGAAGTTTATAATACTGGGGAGTGGGTCAGAGACTACAGTATGATGTATAATCCTAAAAATACTACATTTTACAGTCAAAAAAGATCAAGGAATTGGAATATATAAAGAAGGAAAGAATAAACTTCCACGTGATAAAATGCCAAAAATTATAATAGAACTGTTACTTTAGCACTCTTAAATTCAGACCTCTCTTTCTCTTTAAAAGTTCTGCCACATGGAAGAAAGAGAAGGAACAATTTCAATATTGACAGTGGCCTATAAGTACCTGTAGATTTTGGCTAAACTTTGGGAGAATTCATGCATCAAAGCAATTTTCTTTGTGCTCCCAAACTCTTAAAGCACACTTCCATAAATGCAGAATTATTTTCTAGATGGTAAATGTTACCTTCTTGAAAGGAAACCATGACAGAGCTGTTTTATTATAACTATCTTATTAATTTTACATATTGAGAAGAGTAACTGACCTGACTCTTTAAAAATTAAAAATAAATCTTTGGCAGAGGCCAGATTATAACAAGCAGAAGCTTCTGCTAGCTGTTTCTAATGCAACTTTTTTAGTGGAGAAATGCTCTGGAAGTAGGTAAGAGTTGTGTGAGTTAGTAAATTTGGTTAACCACCCCTCTTCTTCCCCAAAATAGGTCTCTTTATGAGAAGACCAATACATTGCCTCTCCTGAGAGCCACCAGAGGGATTAGTGGAGGCTAAAGGGTGTGATGTTTAGAAATGGGCTCCAGAGGGAGAATGCCTGGCTTTGTGTTCTGCTCCTTTACTCTTTAGCTGTGGTCCCTTGTGGCAAGTGACCTTACCTCTCCAGCCTCAGTTTCCATCTCTAAGAGAAGAATAACAATAGCACTTACCCACCGATTTCTTGTGATGATTAAATAAGATAGTGGTGACAGAATGGTAATTTGCAATATTAGGCAATGGATTTTTAGCCCCCCAACATCTTATTGAACTTCTCAGAGGCCCTTCTCCCAGCCCAGGCAACTTGACAGGGAGTCACCATTGTACCAAGGGGAAGCCATCATGGTAAATTAGGAAAAAGCTCATTGAATTATTGGTAAGGCCAATGTATTGACATAACCAAGACGGTGGACAAACAACACTCATCAGATCTAATCAGAAAACAATTTTAATCATCCTCCCCACTGCCTTTTCAAACCTGCTCTGTAGCCTAGTAGTTCTTTTCAACTCCCTTGGATAGAAACTCAGGCATAACATTTCTAGTCACACTTAGACTTTTTGAAATGTCTCCAGTCATTTTAGTCACAGACACACACACGTACATAAACTAATCAGTGTTCGATTCTATGTAATAGAATTTTCACATTTCTTTCAAGTTTAAAGCATTTCCCTTCTCTGGAAGTTAGCTGTCCCTCAAAAATCGGAGCCAAACCTACTGAAAAGGGGGAGAGGAGATCCGTGTGGGATTGTTTTTTCCTGTGTAGACCCTCTACTCTTCACCCACCCACCCACTCGCCCCCCTTTGAGTCTGGCTCTGGCTATTCCAAAGTTGAAGGGTCATGGGGAGGGACAAGCAGTAACAGTAGATATGTTCTTGCTACTCTATTGATCTTTTTGTGAATAGGCTTATAAACTGTGGGCTTAGCAGGTATATAAAGCTGACGCTCTGGTGGGCATTTTGCAATTGCTTCAAAGACACCACTATTATTGTCTCCCTGGCTGGCTGTTGATGTCTCCTCGGCCCCTTGGAATCTGGCAGCCCACTGTTCTGTTGAGGTCACCATTTTTCTTCAGGCTGTTCTCTTGGGCAGCATTTAGGATGACCAGCAGCCTGGCTTTCTCACTTGGGCCTGTATGCATCACCCACAAGTAGTCCAATAGACAGTCACCCTCCTTTGCCCCAGCAACCTCAGGCTTCCCAATGCAGCAAGCTACTCCCCTTGGCATGGTGGACCCTCATTTTGGAACGGATAAGCAGTTGCCATCTATTGCTCATGGTCACTATTGAAACTGAACAGAAAATTATTTTCTACCATCGGGTATCATGGGGCTCAAGAGAGAAGTTTAATTCAGCTTTAGAAAACGAAAGCTGAATTCCTTGAACGAGTAATGGTTTGAAAATGTGTTGCCACGCTACAACATTCACATATAACATGTGAGTGCACATATAACACTTGGAATATTTGTTATTGTTATTAATATTATTAGATCAGAGAGACTGATATAATCATCCTCATATCTAAAGTATTTTCTCTCCATTAAAAAAAATCTATGAGCCACGCCAGCCCGGTGGCGCAAGCAGTTAAGTGCGCGCTCCGCTGCGGTGACCCGGGGTTCGCTGGTTCCCACCGGTTCGGATCCTGGGCGCGCGCCGAAGCACCGGTTGGCAAGCTATGCTGTGGCGGCATCCCATATAAAGTGGAGGAAGATGGGCACAGATGTTAGCCCAGGGCCAGTCTTCCTCAGCAAAAAGAGGAGGATTAGGAGATGTTAGCTCAGGGCTGATCTTACTCACAAAAAAAAAAAAAATCTATAAGGAAAACAAAGTGAAAAAGTAGATGATAAGACAATGGTATGGCCCATTAAAATACCTGGGAATCTTTTTATACCTTTATGGAAGGTGGAGATGAAAAAGCAACATGAGCAGGGACTGGGGCTTGTAGTAATGTTCTATTTCTTGACCTAGATGGTATTTACAAAAGTATGTTTATCTTGAGATAATTTGTTGATATGTTTATGATTTGTGCATTTTTCCACATACATCTTATCCTTTAATAAAACTGAAAGAGATGGTAGGTAAACAAACATTCACTTTATATCTTGCATCTGCCATATCTCTATATAGAAAGGGAATAGGAGAGTAATAATTTTTTACATCTTTTTTTATTTACAATGAAGAGTTCATGATGCTGTCATCGTTTAAAATTAAATTAAAAATTAAAGAACAATGAAATCTCTGAAAATTTTAAAAATATATACATGCCTAGGCCTCATCCACCTCCCCAGAGATTCTAATTTAATTGGTCTGAGGTGGAGCCCAGCAATCCATAGTTTGAAAAACTTCTAATGTGTAAGGTTATAATTCACCCTTCTAAAAGTTAAATGGCTAGTTCCGGAAGCAAATTAACATCTCTTTACACCTCTTTACAGTTAAGTGATACATCTTAGGTTTCCCTGGCAGTGAAATATCTTTAAGTCCTTCAAGACTTCCAATTGCAGAATCCAAGTGTGGTAAAGGCCTTTCTCCTTCAGTCTGGGAGAACTCCGGGAGCAGACTACACAGTGAGTAGGGCTCCCAGTTTCCCACCCCACAGCGCACTCATTTCCCAGCTCCTGTCAGGAGTACTGTTTGCTGCTTCTGTGGGCTCAAACTCACCCACTTCCTGAGAGCCATTCAGAAAGTAAAGAGAACTATATAAGGACTCCAGTCCCTGAAAAGTTAAGTATTAAGCTTTCCTTGCTGTTGTTGACCCATGCTTGTTACACAGATTTCAGACCTACAGATAGATACTTTGTTCCTGGCTCTGTGCTGACCAGACCTTCCCACTGGGTCCCTAACCTTTGCTCACCAGCCTCCTGACCTCTAGGACCCACATGCCTTCTAGAACTATAATCCTGGCTTTAGCCTATGTTCTTGGGAACAACCTTTGTCCAGCTTGTCATATGGAATTTGCTTGTATTTTTGCTGTCCATTCTAACTAACACCAGGCCTGGGCATTACCAAATGGGCCTGTCCTGCCACTGAAAAACGTTTAGCCTTATAATCTTTTGAATTTTGTCATAAAGATTTTAATTGGTACCAAGAAATTTGTAGTTCGCTAAATAGTGCTGTATATTATATCTATCTTTAAAATTGTATGCAAGTTACAGTTATTGTGTTATATTTTATAGAAATATATGCACTTTTACCGGGCACTTGGTACTTGCTCCTTAGGACATCTTTCCTGATGACCTATACCACTTCATCTACTTGTGGTAGGAGAAGCACTTTCAAGGAAAACCACCTGTCTCCTCAGACCCAGCCTTACAAATCTATGAAGTGACACTGAGTGCCATAGCTTAATCTTTCTTGTGTGACCAAGAGAGCACCAAAGAGGCATATTTCCAGTGGATGAAGTACCTGGCATTTCATCACGTTGGGTATTCTCCTCTCTGTCTACTATTATAACTGGCGAAGAGTAACATAAGCCTCCCTGACTTTTCCCAGTACAGAAATCTCCTACAAGAATCCCTGTAGCCTCATTTTCTTAGAAATGTTTGTTTCATTTATTTAAAATTGTGTTTGTGTTAGAATGCTTCTGCCACAAGACCAGAAACTGAGCAATGTTTGTATGGATGGACAACAATACAGGAAACAGGGGCCAGCCCGGTGGCGTAGCGGTTAAGTGCGTGCACTCTGCTGCGGCGGCCCGAGGTTCACAGGTTCGGATCCTGGGCACGCGCCGGTGCACCACTTGTCAAGCCATGCCGTGGCGGCATCCCATATAAAGTGGAGGAAGACAGGCATGGATGTTAGCCCAGGGCCAGTCTTCCTCAGCAAAAAGAGGAGGATTGGCAGATGTTAGCACAGGGCTGATCTTCTTCACAAAAAAAAAAAAAAATATACAGGAAACAGATAAAA